AGAAAGTAAACATTGGAATCTAGAATCATTTCATTGAATTAAGGATTAAGGGTTATTGTCCTCTATGTTAACATTCCTAATTGAAAACAAACAAAAAGATTACCTATTTATTCATTAAAAACAATAGACCAATTCAAAGAAATATTTTTAGATGAAAACACGAAAAAATCAAGTGGGTGGAATTTTTTGCCTGTCAGTGTATATCGACCATGTGCTGATAGACAAGAGGCAACAAAGCTCCACACAAGATATAAGGATTTATCGTGGAGCAGACTGTGATTTGGACCATACTCTATTTAGAATGTCTGCCAGAAAAGCGAGTTAACCAAATTGGGGACCAAGTGGAAAGAAAGAGGTACGAAGTCCATAATTTGATAAACCCTATAGTACAAGCTGAATTTCAAATTGAGCTGAAAAATAAATTTGAACCCTAAGGTTGAACAACATTGGGAGGTACTAGAGTCAGGGCTAAAACAAACAGCTAAAGAAGTAATAGGGATTCAGGTAAAAGTAAAAGCTAAGAAATGGTTCTCAGAAGCATGAGAAAAGGCAGTGGAGGAAAGATCAAACTGCAACTTAGGCCGAAACCTCAGAAAAAAAATTAAGTTATTTTATTTCTTTTTGTTTCTCGTGGAATGAATCCCCTCCCCAACTAATTTCTTAATCATATCTCTGTTTTATATAATTCTTTAACGAAGAATATTAAAGTTATTACTGTTATCGCTCGAGTTGTTTACTCTTTAGCTTACTTTCTTTTTAATTTTCAACCAATTCATTATAATAATTTTCAACAAAACATTATTATTATAATAATTATAATTATAATGTTAATATCACATGAACATATTGTTTCGGGACTATCCACTGTAGAGATAATATGAAAAATAACGAAAGCGATATCTTGAGTAAAATTGACAAAAAACAACAATTTCCCGATACCTTCCTGGCAACTTTTGCTGATGACACCGCCATTCTATCATCCGACTCAGATCCCAACATAGCATCCTTAAATCTCCAAAACCACCTCACCTTGATTGAGCACTGGTGTAATAACTGGCGCATTAAAGTTAATGAATCTAAATGCCAACATATTACCTTTACACTCCGACGCAGTTCCTGTCCACCAGTACATTTTAATTCCATCCAGCTTCCTTACTCAGACACAGTCCGGTATCTTGGCTTTCATTTAGACCGAAGACTAACGTGGAACCCACATACTAGACTCAAAAGACAAGAACTCAACCGACGATACGGACAGCTATACAGACTACTAAACAGAAAATCCAAACTTTCTATTGAAAACAAATTACTTATCTACAAGACAATACTGAAACCTATATGGACATACGGACTTGAACTGTGGGGGACAGCAAAAGCTTCTAACATCAAACGTATTCAATCCTTTCAATCTAAAGTCCTTCGAACAATAGTTGATGCTCCGTTCTATGTAAATAACAAAATCCTACACCATGACCTTAATATCCCATTTGTCCTAGACCTTATTCCAGAAAAATTCTCCAAATTTCACCAGAACCTTACCTATCATCCAAATCCCCTTGCACAATCTCTATCCACCACCACCCATCCTTACAATCCTCCTCGAAGGTTGAAGCGGCAGTGGCCCAGAGACCTTTTGTAAATAAGCATCTATTGGAGTTTTGGCAATGGCCAGATCCTCCACTCAAGCCCGAGTGTGTATGATTAGGTTAGTTCTTTTGTTTATATACATTTATTTTATTTTATTGTATTTATTTTTATTTTATTTTATTGTATTTATTATTATTAAGTTTCTGTATTATTCTTTTTTTTTTTTTTTTTATTGTAAATAGAGTGTGAGTGTGCTTTCTCTGAACACTATTATAAATGTCCTTGATGTGACAGAATGTAATATTTCTAAATAAACAAATAAACAAAAAATTAAATTGATAATTTTTCAAGATACCGTAATGTATTTAACACCATGGTGCCTTGTACCACTGCATTAGGCTAGAGGCACCTTTCTTTGTTACATTTAAAACACCTTAAAAATTTTTATTTCTTTTAAATATTACATGATTACATCATTGAATTTGTTACTCTTTCCTATCAATGTTCGCAGATCCTGTTCATTGATTCTTACTCTTCTTCTGGTGTCTGTAATACAATAACCATTAATATAAAATACATAAATACAAGTTAAAAAATGTTTAAAAAAAATGCAATGTAAAATATTATTTGTTAACCAGTTAAAAATCATTTTTCAAGGAAGAAAAAATTATGAATCCCAATTTGAGCGAATCACGACTTAACCAAAGGTTGAATTCACCTTATTACGTCACTATCCTTCTGAGACATTTCGCTACAGGACGAGGGGGGCGATCGACCTCCCCCCTCCCCAATAAAAATGTTGTGGGGACGAGAATATCGTTCCCTCCTCCAATAATTTGAGGCAAACAAAAAAAAATAAAATCAATAATAAATAAGCTAAATGAGAAAAAAAAATGTGTAAACGAAAATCGGTAAAGAAAAGTCAACTAGCTAGGATGTCTAGGACCTAGTAGTAGGTATGTAACGATTTTATTGATACCTAAATATTACTATTATTTAAATTGTCATTTACATTCAAAGATAATACCATATAGGCTTTCTCGCAGTTATAGAGAAATATATTTATTTATTTTTTTATTTATTTATATGATATTTACAACTGTATACAAAAAATACATCTGGTAAATTCGCACATGGATATAATGACATGAAACACATGTTGAGAAACTACCCATTGGTAGCACTCTAATAATATGTCTATATTAGAAGATCACGTGGCCATCTTCTTTTCAGACGCCTCGGAGGGTTATCAGGAATTGAATAGGAAGCAAGGTTAGAAACAAGAGGGTTGGGATGGTTATGAAGTTTATTATGGAAGGACAGATATCTGGATTGGGCCAAATCTGATACATAAGGAACATTAAGGTCATTATGGATAATTTTATTTGTAACAAAGTAAGGAGCATTGAGGATTTTACGAAGGATTTTGGATTGTAAGGATTGGATGCGAGAGGAATTTGAAGGTTTGGTGGAGCCCATAGCTCAACTCCGTAAGTCCAAATAGGCCTTATTATAGTCATGTAAATGAGTCTTTTATAATTAATTGGAAGGTTAGAGCGTTTGTCTAGTAAGTGTTGAAGTAGTCGGAAACGTCGAGCTGTTTCTTGTCGTTTCAGTCTGGTATGAGGATTCCAAGTTAGACGTTTGTCCAGATGGAGTCCTAGGTAACGGATTTGTTCAACAGGAATAAGTGAGGTGTTGTTAAAGGATACTGAAGGACAGGAAGTCATTGGTTTACGACGAAGGGTGAAGGTAATTTGATGGGATTTATTGGAATTTATTTTAATTTTCCAGTTCTGACACCATTCTTCAAGGTTTATGATGTGGGATTGAAGGGTTTGGGATGCAATAGATGGGTCATTATTAACTGATAGGATACATGTGTCATCAGCATATGTGGTGATGGCAGTGTGGGATGGGTTGGGATGTCAGCTGTATAAACTGTGTAAAGGATAGGACCTAGGATACTACCTTGAGGAACACCTGCAGACTGGGAAAAGCGGGATGTATAGACATTGTTGTGATTTACTTTAAAGTATCTATCAGCAAGGTAGGAACGGATAATGAGGAAGTATGTAGATGGTAGGAATTTACGGAGTTTGTACAGCAGTCCCGAGTGCCAAACTCTATCAAACGCCGGGAAATATTTAAACAGATAATAGTAGAGCTATCATAAACTTCATATAAACAATAGTCCGGTTTTTGGCAGAATAGTAGACAGTTTAAGTTCCGTGTTCTTTTAAGTAAGTCATGGTTTTTGATGAATTGGGAGTGATAATTAAAACTTTAGTTAACATAACTAATTAGCAATTGCTTCGCTGTAAACTTGACAAAATTTGCTTCAAACGAATTTAGAGTTTGTTATTGTTAAAATCATTTAAAGAGGACTTTTGAGCGAATAACTAAGGTATGTGGTGATATAAAAAAAATCATGATTTTTTGCGATTTTTATTTAACACCGTCCAACTAGATACACAAAACCATATTTATAAGTGACCAAATTAAACGTTTTCAGCTCAAATATCTTCGCGTAAATTAAAATAAGCTTGCTGATTGCTTCAATTATTTTTATGAAATCGTAACTATTAGAATTGGAAATATTTAATTGATCACTTATTAACAGGGACCAATTTCTATAATACAGACCTTAATATAAAACACAGTACATTGCCATTTTAAATAATAAATTTTGAAAAAGCATTATTTTAAAAAAAATTTTGTAATAAATAAAAAGTTTGTTATCTGTACCACTACAACCCATGAAGAGACCTGGATGCAGTACTATGTGAGGAAGTACTGTTACAAGGCCAACGGTTGTACGGGGAGGTGATGGGCCCGATATCACAATCAACCGTCAGGTTTTCTCCCTTAATTATTTTTTTAAATTAAGGATACCCACTTTATAGAGGCTGAGTGTGCCCCCAGCAGAGTCTCCCGACCCCACTGTCGATCCACGGCTAATGAAAATTCCGTAGTCATTAACCTGATCCAAAAATAAAATTTTGTTAGAAATTTATACTATACCCTCCCTCTCCCCACTGAGTTTTTGTCCTAGTTCTGTCATATTGAAGAGTGCCACTGATTTGAGCAAAGTTGCTAAGTAATAAGTTTTTAGTTTCTTTTCGCTGTCAAAAATAAAGATACATTATTTTTTCTACATTCCTTTAATTCTCAATTCCGCCACTTAATTGTATTCAATTCTTTTTAAAAGTTATTATGTTATATTTTGGCCAGAATGAATATTATCATCTAATCAAAATGATCCCTAAATAGAAAATAAACATTAATGTTTAACAGAATGAATACTTGCTTTATGCAATAAAACCGTGATTTTTAGAAGAGTACATTATCTTTCACGATGACAAAGGAGAGATAACATAGTTTACTTTGCGGTGTCTGATAAAGGTACAACAGTTGTAATGTTACTCGAATTCATATGTGTTGCTTTGTTTAGTGTGATTGGTGCTGCGGTTTATGTACTGTTTGTGACCAGTTTAACATGGGTAGTGTAAGTAATATTGCTATAATATTTATTACGATGATTCACGAGGGAGTTAAGTCAATGGAGCTAAGATCTTCTTAAATTTGATTCAGTGAGCATCAAGTGCGTAATTAGAAAAGGTCGAATGGTACATAATCCCAAATTTCAACTTATTAATAATATAATGAATCTATTTGAAATGCAGTCCACTACATAAAGAATAAATGGCGAACTATTCATAGCCAATGATTCACACATTAAAATAGGTTAATAATGATTCAGCTAATAACCTCCAAGGCATAAAAGTAGTGAGCGGAATAATCGAATCAATGACAAATTTAGTTATGACAGAAATACCATATCAATGTTAAGTACCGTGTCTTATTAATAAGTTAATAATGAAATATGAACTGAAAAAAAATTTCCAATAGAAGATTATTTATTATCTTCTAACGTTTAGCAAACAACATATTCCAATTATATCAATTTATTTTTTTACTTGTCAATGTTTCGGTTATCTATACCCATTATCGAAACTGCCTAAATATCACACCTATAATATTGTACATCTTTCATAGCTATATCAATTAATAAAATTAAGAAACCAACATTTATAGAGCACTTTTTGGTCCCTAGCTCAACATTTCTTTTAACAAAATGTTATCATTTTTTATGTAACAGAAAAGACGTGAAATCATGTATAAATTAATAAATTCAATGCGAAAACTATTTTTAAGAATTTTCGAAAAGTAAAAAAAAATTGTAGATTACGATAAGATGAAGTTGTTCACGAATGTTACTAATTTGGTAAAATGAGGTCTGTACCGAGGACTATTACTCTATAATAATAAAAAAAATGAATGCGGTTGTGTTATAACCGAAGACCAGTTAAAATTTGCGATTTTTACCAACCTTGTCAATAGTTGAGCTATTGTTACTAATTGTATATTTCTGAAAATTGGAAATGAGTTCTTTAAGAAAAAAACTCATAAAAGTTGTAGGTTATCGAATTTTGCGCACTATTTTTTTAGCTTAGTGGTTAATTACACTTCATGAAACAGATAATCTCCCTACAATACACATAAGCTTCAACACTTCGTCAGTATTGACTGTATATTCTGACTATTCTTCCTTAGAATCTATCGTGACGATCATAGATATAGATCCGGCTCTAAAGAGCGATTGGTTTTGGCAAACATGGCGAAAAAAGAAAGGGACTATCCCAATTCGAGCTTTCACTAGGAAAACTTCTCATGCGAAGAGTCATATTCTTCTCAAAATAGAAGATATCAGAACTTGTAAAGACGTCACAAACGAAATAGATTTAACAACTATACTTTCATGTAAGGATAAAAAAAGTGAAAACTCTCCTTTTTACGCTCTTATATGATTATGGAGTATGTGGACATACAGTCCAAACTTTTTACTGAGCTATTACGAACGAAAACGAGCGGAAAAAAATAACTTTTGCCATCACTTGTTGAAGAATTGGATACCCATGTTGAATTAAATGTCCAAGAGGATTAATAAAACGAATAAAAACTCACCAAGAGACAAAAATTAGATGTTAGGTTATTGTTGGAAAAGTCCACCCACATAGCCTTGTTTCACTAAAATTTAAGTTTTTTATGTTGTTTTTTGATACTGTTTTATTGAGTAATATGATATTCTGTCACCACATGGACAATCGAAATAAAATAAAGAACAAAATGACCCCTCAACGTTTCGCCAATTCAAGCATCATCAGGACAGAGAAAAGAAACCTAGATAAAATCACTCTATGACATCCAAACACATACTCAAACTTTGTGCCTGAATATGCGAAATGATAACGGGTTAGGGTGAACGCAACAGTGATGGACAGGTTGGAATTTAAATGTAAATAATAAGCTTCCTTGTTGATATAAAGGTTTTAAGTTTTTTCTAGATTGAAGAACAATGCTCTTAATTAACAACTGTATGAACAATTAAATGAAATAAGTTCCCAAAACAAAATTTTTAAATGCCTATCATTGCTGTTTCTACAGTACTCTTGAGATTAGTGTGTTTCAGACCTCCCTACTAACAGTTTTGCCATGAGTAAGTTGAACATGTATGTTATCTTATCGCATTATTTATCGTTATCTTTACAGTAAAATAAAGATTTTAAATTTTTTCTGTAGCAAGTGTCATGGCCGCAACTGAAGTTTAGCTTTCATGTCGCCCTATGTTGTTTACTTCGTACTGTGCTTAATATTTAAAAATTCTTAAGTAAGACTTGATCAATGGTGGTTCTATAAACAATTGTACATTTTCTTGTTCATGGATATTCAGGTGAGTTGCTATTTGTCAACAATGAACAATTTTTAAATCGGTGATCATTTGGTTAGCTAAAGTGACTGGTAATTCCCTAGCGGGTCTTATCTTAGTAGCGTTAAGGTCACGGTCAGGCCTCTATTTACATCCTTACGTCGGCTGATCATCCAAGAACGAGTTTCAGTTCGAATCCAGACCTTTTTTTCAGAGGCTGTATTATTTTTATCTTTAATTGTTTGTGTATTTCTAGAAATGATTTATTTTATTTCTTGTTGTAGATATTTATTATAATTTATTTTTTTAAAAAGAATTTATTTCATAAATTCCTTTCTGTCTAGTTGTTTTATTTAGGTATATATAATTTATATATATATATATATATATATATTAACAGCGAAATTTAAAAAAGCGTACACTTCAAAAGCGTCAACGAAATTCTGCCCCTGGGTCGGGAGGCAACTCACCTAACAAAAAAAAAGAAATCGACTAAATCCAAAAAGTAAACTGAGCAAAATAAGTCGAATAAATCTAAACAGTCAACCTAGTAAAATAAACCATCACCTCAAACCAGAAGCAAAACAAATTCTACAAAACTAGAACCAACTCCGCCACAACTATCGAGAATTCTACCCCCGTTAATGACTCACCAAAAAAGTCTTCGGAGCCTTAAGAATTTTCTGACCCCGAACAGCCACCGATTTTCATTTTTAAAATCAATAATTTCTTCTCATTTGTTCAAGAAATTGCGAATCAGATCGGACAAACAAACTTTAGATGTTTTTCCAGAGTCAACGACATAAAAATAAATACAAAATCCAAAGAAAATTATAAAATACTAATAAACCACCTCACTACTAACAAATACGATTTTCACTGTTACCATTTAAGACACGAAAAGGCATATCGAGTGGTTTTGAGAGGTTTACACTCACCACTCCTATCTCAGTTATCAAATCAGACCTAGAAGAAATTGGTCACAATGTCAGGCACATATCCTGCGTACTACATCTAACGGAGAAATATCCGTTGCCGTTATTTTTTATCGATTTAGAGCCTGCCAGAAACAACACTGAAATATTTCAAGTGAAAAGGCTTGTATATTCAACAGTGAAATTTGAGGAGCCCAGGCAAAAACCTGTGATAGTGCAATGCACTAAGTGCCAAGACTTAGGACACACGAAGACCTACTGCCATCATCAGGCCAGGTGCGTCAGATGTGCCGGTTGATACACTTGTGACACTTGCCAACAACCTCCTGATCAGTCTGCGAAATATGTTCTTTGTGGTTACCAACACCTTGCAAACACAAAGGATGCAAAGTTTACAAACATCAGGTTAAACTTCGATCACAAAATATTGCCTTAAAAAGACAAAACCTCAGTCAGAAAAGTATTACCCAGCCACCTGAAATTGAAAATTCATAACAATTCCCTGAATTACCCAAAACTAATCAACAACAAAATTCTTCTACTTCAACAGCCATCGAACGCCAGGACTCCGCAAAATCACGCTGTGGTTCCAAGAGTCGGTATCAGCAGCCTCGACATCAAACGACGTCTCAGACCTCCAAATCCACCCCTATCCACACTCGAAATATTTATTCCCAACCTCAACGTCAACCGATATCTACCCCTACGGGTCAAACTATCGCCACACCACCCTCATCTATCCCATCACTTCTCATATCCAGACTAAATCGCCTTCACAAGTACCTCCGAATGCAGACTTACCTCGCGCACAACGACGGATCCTGCCCTCAGTTAACACTCCAAAGCAAATGGATCATTCACCACAAATTCTTAACCCAAATCCACTCTATAACCAACATCCAACTGACATGACTACTGTCCTTTCATCCTTTCTATTAGATCTACAAGAGACCATAAAACCTCTTATCACCCTTCTCACCAGAATCCTGACCGAAATTACTTTTAATTATCCACGATGAGTGCAAAGCCCCTAGCTACCCTTTAATGGAATGCCAATGAACTACATAACCACCGTGATGAACTTGACATATATCTTCATGACAATCATATTGATATCGCTCTACTAACTGAAACTCACTTCACTAAGCGGATAAAATTCTACATACGTGACTATATCACTGACAAAGATCTGACCACCGAGACAACACATCCCAAGACGGATCCTGCATCCTTATACATAAATCTTTATCTCATTTCCTTGATCCTTCCACTCCATCTGATACCATTCAATCAAAATCTGTAATCCTTACAACCCGCCCTTTCCACATAACATTCTCAGCTGTATACTGCCCTCCTGATAATTCCCCCTCTTATGCCCTTCTTGACTTCTTATTCCAACATCCTTATTACCAGAGGAGAATACAATGCTAAACACCAATGATGGGGTTGTCGAACATCGAATTCCTGTGATAACATCCTTTCACGTGTTTCATCCTCCAACTGCTATTCTACCCTCTCGCCTATAAATCCTACTTATGGGCCAACTTCCCAAGCCATAATCAAATCCCTGGATGACCTTTCTTCTGATCATAGTTCAGTTCTGCTTTTACTACATTCAAACTTTGTTCCTAAACCCTCCAACATTGATTACAGAACGAGATAACTGGGAAAGATTTCGTGATGATTTGGAAAATACATTAGTCTTGAAAAGTCCGCTAAAGACAAAACAAGATATTGATGGTGCCATAGACAAACTTACAGCATCAATAACGTACACTATCAATAAAACCACCGGTATTAGTA